TTGGCTGAAGCAATAATATAACAAGCCACTACAGAACTGTTACGGGCATTGGACTCAATGTAAACAACTGGAAGGGAGACTGCTAGAATTTTTTGATCTGGAGACAAGGACTCCAATATCAGTTTTAATAATACATCATTTTCCATTTTCCATTAGTTTTCGCCAATTCTGAGTTTTTGATTGAAAACAATCTAAATCCTTATCAAATCAGGGAAAGAAATATAAATAAAGGCAAAAACAGTTGTGATTGTCATGTCAAATAACTGCGTTTTATTCTCAACACTGATGACTCCAACAATTCGATGTATCAGACAGAGAGTTACGTCACTTCCGTCAATGATGAAAATGTGGTGTGAAGAAGAAGATGCCTGTTCGAAGATTATTTTTCAGTTTCATGTATCAGAATAGTTCAACTCACAATTATAACATGCTCGTCTTCAGGATCAGATCAGATATCTCCAAAAGGTGAACAATAAAAGCGCATGCGCAAGGGTGTTTTTTGTGGAAATTCACTAAATTGCGTTCGATTTGGGATCATTGAACTCAATGTAAACAACTGGAAGGGAGACTGCCGTTTTCTTGAATAGCACAGAGTGTGTCAGGGTCAGGGGCAGCTGCAACAAAGATAGCTTGTGCGTTACGGTCACCTGTCTCTTTCACACTCATCGTATTGTTCAATTGCGGATTGGTGTATACATTTCCTTTTTCTGCAACCGACACATCCGTCCATTTTGATACCAAAATTAGCTCTTAAATTGACGTTTCTATCACTGACACAAAAATAGGTATGTTGTTAGGCAACATATTCAGTTCCTAGGAGCTAAAGTTGAATTTTAGTTCCTAGGAGCTGAAGTTGAACTTTAGCTCCTAGGAACTAAAAAGGATCTACTGGAAGTCATCAAGAATAAACAACATTTTGACGGTTGGTTATTTGGATTGAGACGCATACCTGATTTGTTTCCGATTTCAGCAGATTTGGCGTTTCATACCCATGCTGGAGATATAAATACACCTTTATTATAGTTTAGTATTGGAATTATGAACATCTCAGTAAAGTATTTTTGTTTTGATCAGGGAAGCCTTCAAGATTCAAATACTTGCTTGATTTGTATTTCATTCGTTATTCTCGGGATGGATAACTTGTTTTTGAATAATCACGGCAAGCAATAGTTTTTTGTCCCAAACAACGATATTGTTTAGCTTAATTTTGATCATCAAGCTAAACACAGTGTAGTATGGAGAGGAATAATTAATCACTATTATCATTGTTGATATGCTCACTAACCTAACATTTTCCACGTCTTGTTTCTATATAGCTCCCAGCAAACATGATTTTTGCGGCCCTCTAAAGGTACAATGAAACTTGCCGGCGAGCGGTAACAGCGGTCCTCTATTGTACAACTAAATTGGGCCGGCTAGCCCGTGTCCCGGCGGCCGACAGCCGACCGCCTCTCTAGAGCCATCAGTATGCCGCTTATTACATTGCAGGGCTTCTGATGGGCAGAAGCAAGTACTCAAATGTACTGCATTCATGGCATATATTCGGCCCGATTGAGACTTTTCAGAGACCGCCATTAATTGGCCGCTTGAGAATTTTTATTCCCCCAATAGAGGAGTTTTTCAGGGCCGTTGGTTAACGGGGTTGAATGAATTCAATATTCATGGTATTCTGTTTTTTAATGTCCTATTTTTCAACTAGGTTTGTCAAAAAATATACTAGGTAATGCATATATCTCAGTGAAAATAAGTTTTTTGATAGGTATCCCAGTTTATATCACCACTTGGAAAGCAAAGTATCTCATTTTCACTCAGATCTCCATCACTCTCTTTATTTTCAAACTGGTTGAAAAATGTGGAACTTCAAAAAACAGAATTGAGGTCTCCCAGTTTTTTGTGAATCCTCTGGGTATAACAGAAATGTGGAATTCACTCCTTACCTGAAGTTGTTGGATAATCACATAAAAATCCTGATATCACAGTTTTTTCTAGGAAACTAGCAGTTTAAATACCCCATACAAAAACAAGAACTGAAAATATACATGTGTGTATATTATTGCCATGATCTCAAACAATACATATCACAACTATGGAAACATCAAACATCTTAATTTCAGTTCTACATATCACTCTGTATACTCATCATGAAGAGGTACCTACAATTTACAATAATAGGTATTTGTGTTTCATCATGCAGGATAGATATTTGATTCTCCACTTGTTTCAAAAAGTTGCTAACTCTAGGTCAAAAATTACATCATACATGTACCTACCTAATAACTTGAAAGTTATGTATGTAGGTAATCAGTTATTATATTGATCAAGTTATTGTCAACAATAGAGTTCAATCCACAAGAAAACAATTCCCAGATATGGAGAACCTCACTCTTTATCATATTGATATGAGTGTTGCCTGGAAGTGAGATATCATATACCATGAAGAAATTTATATCATAGTCTGGATCATTGTGTGATTTCTTCATTGATATCTGTGATTGATGGGCTTCTGGTTGTTGATTTTGTTGCTGAAAGATTGTATGATTTCATTCTCTACTAATCCAAAACATGCAACATTATACATACCTACAGTAATTCTTGAAATATTACTGTTTCTTCAAGTAGGTACTCTTTGATTTTCGTTTCAAAAATAGATTTATGATTCATATGTAATGAAAGCTCATGCATCTTCAAAGTCCTCATATTATTATATTATTAGATTCTTGTGTATCCGCTAAACATGTCCAAACTATTATTGCATCTGTTTGTCCAATGGTGTTTGTTAAACTATTATCTAAAATAGGGGAATTATTTAGCTGTGCAAGTTTGTATATATGTTTGTTCCTCACTCACTCTGTATTTATTTCAATATCCTTCCACTTTGTATAAAAATCCACTAGAAAACCAATCACGAACTGAACACAGTACTAAAATCTCTGTTGAGAGTGTTGAAACAACATAAACAAAGAAATTAATATACGCCATACTGAATCATTGTTACCACTGCAAAATGATCAAAATAAAAACTCATGCGAGCAAGGGATGCCAACGTTGAGTGAGTGATGACGGCACACTCCGTTGAAATTTTGATGGCCCTTGGACTTGGATACATACAGCGGTAGACTAGCGGCTGGGAAACAGAGGCCCATCATAAGTATGTGTACATTCTGCCTTCGTCATATAATCCTTCGAAATTATATGGAGGGCCTTTCGAGGCATGCCGGCATCGACATTTGCCCGCCGTTCTCGGCATGGGCCCGGCTTTCTACCGCCTTTCGATGTTTGCTGGGCTGGCACTGGCGCGGTATTTGCCATTAGAGCACCTGGTCCATACACAAACATGTCACCACGGTTGTATTTATATTGAAACTACAATTCGAACACCCTAGAAAACCTAACCTGCTTTTAATGCAGGTAGAATTATTCTCACCACATGGATTATTTGTCAATATTTGTTGCATTGCATACATATGGCACGGCATTGGTGGTTACTTCACATGTTTATTTGGGTTAATTGTTTCGGTTGCAGGAAAAATAGCATGTTTCATTCGGATCAAAAGTGACTTTGTTCGACTCGCAAATTTTGCTTTCGCTCTGCTTCGCTAAACGCTCCGCCTCGCAAATGCAAAATTCGCTTGTCAAACAAAGTGTCACTTCTGATCCTAATAAAACAATCTACTATTTATCCAATTTTTCATCTGAACAGGAAAAAAAAGTGGACACAGAACTTAATTGTTTTTTGTTATGTGAAATACATCTCATGAAATATCGCTAAATTTGGCGTGTTTTGTTTCTTCAAAAGGACTGCATTTGTTGGTGTGAATCGATTGTTGTTTTGCCTTTGGATGCAAAGGAAGCAAGACAAACAGAAATTTTCTTTCAAGGTTAAATTGAAAATTGTTCAGATTTAAAAAAAAATTATAGTAATTAAATTTCAGGACGTATCTGTGGATGTGTGAGTGGATAATAATAATAATAATAATAAAAAATGCTTTTATTGTCTCAATGAAACAAAAGGCAGAGTTCAACTCGCCGATAAATCGACAGCTGCTCTTCCACTCAACCCTAACTTGAATTCTAAGGACGATGTTTTTCATATGGACATTATTGATTTGCCAAGTTTCAAAGTTCATTGATAATGAAACCCAAACTATTTCATTCGAGAAGGCCTAGTCTATTGCAAAGAAAAGTGAAAACACTGAAACAAAGAGTAAAAAAGAGAATGACAATCTTGATGAGGTAGTAAAAAAACATTTCGAAGCTAAGAACTACGAGTTGAAGTCAAGAGCTACATCATTTTATCATTTCAGGCTTGCCTCTGGAGCTTCTTCTCCAGAAAGGAAACAATGAAGGCATAGATCTGTATATTCTCGGCGACGCAGATAGTCATCTTCAATGAAACAATTCGTGCAAACATTGTACTTTCATTCACTTTCCATTCACCTTCTAATAGTGAAATGTTTATAGAAGAATAATAGGTATCGGTAAAAATTATGCTCAAAATAGACATCGACATCGAAAATGGGGCCTGTACAATTTTAATAGGAATACAGCAGTATGTTTTTCCCAAATGTGACTTGTCACATTATTCCAATCCAAAAATGAAGGGTTATAAAGTATTATTGTAATGGCATGTCACGTGAGACGCTTTATAATCGCATTTTCTTGTAAGCGAATGAACAGGAAAAAGAAAAAAAATGAACACATACGAAAAAATTTCAACAAGTCATAATATATTTTGGGTAACAAGCGCCACATTTTTTTATATAAAACCTGTTCTTCTCAAATTTGAAGTAATTTCATTTTTATTCTTGTAAGCTGTGGTCCCATATAGGGCACGACGCATTGACCTGTATATATATTATTTTCAACATCCAAAGTCAAATATCTCATTTTCAACTCTCTGAGGCTTGTCATTGTATCACACCCACTCCTTACGAAGATTATATCACACCAATCGAATCGCGGTACTAGCAAAGAAGAAACGACACATGTGCCCTTCGATTTCAATCGTCGTCCCTGCAGCAGTACCGGCAACACCGCCTGCACATGCAGACGCAGCCGAAGCACGTCAATAGCAGCGTCGCGACGGCAGCCGCCCAAACGTACGCCCAGTTGATTTCCGGCGTCGTTTCCTTCACGCACAGTTCCGTTGCTTCGTCGCTGAAAGCAGTGCCTGAAAAATAATGAAGAAAAGATCAGAAAATGTATTGTACTTGAATTTTTTTTCATGTTCTGGTTCCCACGAGATTGGGTATCCTGTAATGTTCAGAGAACATCGTGAGAACCAGGAAAAAATAAGGTAGAAATTGGTGTTCCCCTTAAATTTCTGGAGGTTATATGCCTCTGGGAACACCTTCATTGACAATGTGTTCCAGAGCTTTGCTGTTCGTTGGATGAACGAGTCTTTGGAAAGAGATGTTCTGCAGGTCTCCAAAGTGACCACGAAGGGGTGCGAAGCCTCAACTCGACGGGTTAATCTCGCGGAGACTACCAAGGGAGGAACAATGGTTGATATTTCAGAAGAACATACTTCATGAAAATATCTATGAAATAGAGCCAGATCGCCTTTTTCTACGGTGTTCCAGAGAAGTGAGTGAGTTTGTGAGCGAGGCATCACTCACGAGACGAATTGCCCTTTTTTGGACAGAATCCAACAGTTTAAAGGTATGTTTGGGTGCTGCACTCCAGATATGGGCAAAGTATTCCAGGACAGGTCAGATCTGTGTAGATCATAAGCAGCTGAATGAAAGTGTAAATAGCTCCTGTCCCGAAACAGAAAACCATGTTTTTGGGATGCACTTTTAGCAATTGATCTCACGTTACTCTTCTGACAAGCCTATGTTGGGCACAGTGAGATCGGCTTTTCTAGAGAAAAGGCATGCTTGTGTTATGTTCGCACTGAAATCTACCAAGTTATTGGATCCCCATTCGAGAATTGTTGCCAAGTCCATATTTATGTTGTCAACATTTCTTCCTCGTTCTTTTCTGATTTGCCTGGCTAGTATTGGAGCTCTGGAAGAGGATGCGGTATGGAGGGTACTATCATCCGCGAAGCTGTGTACTGGACATGAAGTTGCTTCCAATAAATCGTTGATATGGAGTAGAAATAGTGTTGGTGCTAGAATTTATCCTTGCGGAGCACCAGCATTCATGATAAGAGAGTCAGATGAAACTCCGTCGACCACTACATGGAGAGACCTGTTTGAAAGAAAACTAGCTAGCAGAGAACATAACTGGGGAGGCAAGCCATAAGATGGAAGCTTGCCGAGGAGTCCGTGGTGCCAGACTTGATCGAATGCCTTGGAGAGATCAAGTGCCAACGGCTCATGTTTCACCATATTTTTCAATAGATTGCTGCCATAAATGTGAGACGTAAGCGAGCAGGTCACCATCAGTTGATCCATGACGGAAGCGATATTGCCTATCGCAGATAATACCTGAATGTTCCAGGTATTTTATGAACTTAATGTTGATAGCTTTCTCCATGATCTTTGAATAATACATAGCAGTGCAATCGGTCTGTACTAGCTCGGTAGGGTCTTTTTGCCTTTTTTAGGAACTCTTGCAATTTTCCAGTTGGACGGGAATATTCCCAATTCGTGAGAGTAGTTGACCAACTTGCGGAGAACATGTGTTAGTTCGGAAGCACATTTTTTGAGAACAATCGGTGGGATTCCGTCCAAGCTTTGTTGATGTTGAGACCCAATAACTTGCAGAGAATAGGTGGAATTTCACCAGGACCGCTAGCCGTATTCGTTTTGAGATGAACAGAATGCGACTGATAGTGCCTTGATCGACGGAAGACGATTGATTACTCAAATAGCTTCATTTTGGTGAAATCTGATTGTTGTCTACTAAGCTCTCTGATAGAAGTTATTCAGAAGGAAAATAATTTTTTTCTGTGATGGGGAAAAAAAATTTCATCTCAGTTGACAAGTTATAAAATGCCACATTTTATAAATTATTTTTTTCTCATGGAAAAAAGTGAGCATTTTTTCCCGGATATATATCACATATATGTATATACACTGTTGATGGCTCTTGTTGTGCTATAGTTCCAAAAAATAAGCCAATAACACCTTTTATCTTCCATTCGACTTCACGAGTACGTAAATTACTAAACAACCACTAAATTCGCAATTTTGAAATTCAAATCACAGAATTAGACTGATAGATATTTGATGTTTGCAACGAAGGTGTCATTCTTGTTGAGAACTCCAAACTCCACGTCGATGATTTTCTGATTTTTATATAATGCAATATCTTCTCAATATTGATTCCTCCTTTTTCCTGTCACAGAAAAAGAAGTGTATTATACACGGGAAAGATATAAGATTTCATCAGCTACGCGTCATGAGACAACCTTGAGCTAAAATCTACTACTTTCTAAATAACTATTTTGTGAACTTCACAACTGACTGGTCGAAAATCATGTTGGTACATCTGCGGTGCGTCAATACTTACAATGGTGTCAGTAGTGTCACGAATAAAAAAAAATGGTGTATCAATAAATCACTCAATCAGTAAGTTCGAATCACGTTCGAACTTCAAATAATGATCAAGAACCTCTCATGAGAAACGTGCAAACCTATGATGAACTGGATGTGAGGGTTCCAAACGTATTTCTGACCGGGAGCTACTCTCGACTCGTCCTATTGCTAATTTACATAACATTGTCATTAGGTCTTTATATAGTTATTTGTTTAACTAGGCAACAAAGTAGTAGATTGACTGCCGAGGCTGAATTCATAGCCGAGCGTAGCGAGGCTAGAAATCCAGTTATGGCAGTCAATCTACTTTGCTGCCGAGTTGAACATATAATTTTTTCTCCGATTGTTCATAATGATTTATATCTCTTTATTTTTCCTGTATAGTGTTCAATTAAAATAAAATTTGATAGAAATCGCAGTTGTTGGAATGGTTGGTTGCTATGGAAGTGTCCATAATAATTATAGTTTGACAATTCATGAAATTTCTGACAGTTGTGCGAAAAAAGATCGGTATATTTAAATCATTATATAATGGACAGTGACAGCGACCTGGAAGTACTTTAACCTCCAGATATAAGGGAGGTGGCAAAAAATATAGAGTTGAATTTGTTGCTGGAGAAGTCTCGGATGAAATATGAAGGAAATTATAAACGATTTATGGATTATGCATTTTGCAATCAGCAAAGTAACCATTTGCTGCCTATATAGGCAGCAAAGTACCCATTTTGCTGCCTAGACAGGAAAAGTAATACTTTACTGATTGATATGTGTCAGCAAAATCAATATTTGCTGCCAATCGGAGAAAAAAATATTTATTGTTGTCTTGATTGATGATTTCATACTACCCTTGAACTATCAGTAGCTGATTATTCGTTATTTTGATAATTGCATTAGTTGCGTTAGTGACGTCATGACTTTTCCGTTCTTCTGTTTCCTCATTCAGAACAGCTGCGGGTATCTACCTAATCGAATACACTTAGCAAGTTAGTAGACAAAATGTTCAAGTTCACCTCCTTAATACTGCAGAGATATTAACTATGAGGTATAAAGCTAGAACTACGAGAATTGATGGTAATATCGTTCCGGTGTAGCAGCTGCAGACTATAGATGCACGAGAATGAGCATAAGTGGAAAACATAGTTTTCATAATGCATTCATATTTCTGCAAGGAAATAGAATAACTTATACTATACACAGACTAGTTTTCAGAGTTTTCTTGTACGGGGTGTTCCAAAGTGCTCGTTTCAACTAAAATCTTTGTAAACTTTCCAAAAATATGCTACAGGTTACTCAGAAATCGGAGCCAAACTGTCGTATAGGAAAAATCTTTCAGAACTCAATTTTTTCAAATAATAGAAAGAACTTTATGTATCGAATCGACTACATCTGAAACGAACAGTTTTTGCAGGAACCTAATAACATTTCCACCTGATGTATACATGAGGATGAATGAAATAATAACTGACAATCAGACACAGTTTGTTATGCAAAAATAGAACAGTTCAGCTTGAGAGAGGGAAAATATATCTTCACCAATGGGGAAGTTTCCTATATTGGGGTTTTTATCTCACTGTGAAGTTTGTAGAGAATCAATATATACATACAGGGTGTTTAAAAAAAAACCTAACCCCCTTGCTAGGTATAGGTAGGTAAAAAAAATATTGTTTCAACACCTTGTATCTTGAAAACGGATGGCGTTATGAAATTTTTTTACTGAGCAAATCCAACCTATTTTGCAGTGTTCTACCTACCCTAGCAAGGGGGTTAGGTTTTTCTGAAACACCCTGTATATTTTCTTTTGTCGTAAGATCAAATTTCACTTCAGAAAAAAAAAAGAGGAACATGGCTCCTCCACCATTCCTATGACATACTTTCTGAAAATCCATATTCCCACAGAGTAGAAATACGATTACCTGTGCCAGTACGATGTTGCCGACATCATCAATATGTCTAGATTTCCGGAAATTGTTCTTTAAATGCATAATAACTATATCATAACAGCAATGTTCTTCAATCCTACTTTGCCAAGTATTATGAATGATTCCCATGAATCTCTCATTGGATGAATGAAGTTGATTACTAATAAAAATAAATTATGATATTTTGCGATAGTATTTATAATTTTCCACTTTGGTTATATTACAATATGTTATTCATTACTAGTCAGTTAAGTTTTTGCTAATGAATTCGTTCCTTAATAAAACGGATCTATTTTCTAGGAAAGTTGCAGATCATATCTTGCAACAGCGCCTAATACTTCGAGTCCGTCCACACCACTCAAAATACTGACAGGCACAACAAGAGGAAGGGGCCATGGGTGTCGGCTTCATTCTGTTCTGACCGATGGCAGTAAATTAGGAAGGATAGTATCATTGAATGTTGCCGACAGTGATTCATTGATTTAATGATATTTTCGGTTAGGATCGAGCTCTATTCGAGATATTTCAATGGATAAATAACAAAACCATAACCTGTCAGAATGAAGCCAACTACCTTCTGCATTCTTGCTCCGACTGCATTTGTGGTTATGTATGTTTTTGTTTATCAGTTTTACTTCTTCTATTCTTTCAATCGTTTTCGATCCGTTAGCTATTCGTTAGATATTCGCTGGCTATAGAATGTACGTCACAGTTTGCTGCCCCGAGAATTAGAAAGTGTTTCAATTTGAAAATGAAACCGATTTGGACTTCCTCGGTCGCCATCCTCCTAGCGAGCACAAACATCCCTGGGATGTTTTGGGATGTTATGAAAATGTTGGCATGAAGATGTTATTTTGAGATGTAATATGCACTGACCAAAGAGGTCTTTGAAGGATATTGAAGTTTTGTTTTTGTTTTTCTATGGCATTTCTGTGTTTGCCTACTGAGAGGTATCCCTGGGATGTTTTGGGACGTAATATGCACTTTCCAAAGAGGTCTTAGAAGGATATTGAGAGTATTGTTTTTGTTCTTGTGTGTCCTTTCTTTGTTTGCCCCACCACAACGTCTCATGCTTACGTCACAATACGATGAATTCTGATTTGTTTTCGATTTTGTTCTTCTTGTTCGCAATTGGCATTCGCGTTTGCAGCGTGTCACGCTTACATCATGCTGCTAACGAACAGAATGGAATTTGGTGAAGTTTATCGTGTTCGAAGACTTATTTAGTTCGTAATAATGACCATCAGATGCAAGATATGTGTTGTTCGGTGCCTCAGTGTAATCAATATATTATTATAAAAGTACGAATTTATCAATACACTGCTCCTCCGCAATTGCCAAATTATGCATTGTGGAGAACATTTCAAAAATTGGGAAACCTATTTCCAATTATATGTCTGTGTGTAGTAAGCACTACTCAGAAACCGATTAAGAAAGTAATTTCATATCAAGAAAATATTTTTATGTTCAATCTATTTTTAATGCATTTTTTCATTCAAGGGAAATGTAATCCTAATGCAAAAGTTCATTTTGACAAAAGGCTTCAGAAAAGTACCTCGAAAATGGTTTTTTTTACAGCGATTTAATGTGGGCAAGACGCGTTGAAAATGTTTTTTTGTGTCCATGAAAAGACTTTAAAAAGAACTAGGGAGAAGGTAGTTTTGTGACATATCAAGGACATCTCGATAATTGCCGCCTGCGGCGGGCATTGGCTGTTCTATAATAGTTCAATCCATGTGTGAACAGAACATCGCAGTGGAGGTTCAATGTCTCGAAATCTCGTACTTTCAACATCTCTGAGATGTTTTTGTGCTCGCTGGGCTGTACAGTGTGAAGATGAAAGTGGAGAGTTCGGAATCTTTTTTATGAAAATTCATCTGAAGGGAACTTCCCCATTGTCCTTGTCTTCAGTGTTTCAACGTAAAATAATGAAAATATTATATTGGCAACATTGAAAGTGAGAAGAAATGGAGAAGAATATCGTATTGATCTCAATATAATGAAAGGTTGGAATTGTCTTCTCTATTCCCTCTTATTTCTGGTGTCGCCAACATAAAATTTCCACTATTTCACGTTGGAACACTGGAGACAAAGACAGATGGGGAAGACATATTTTTTCTCCCTCAACGCCACCTGAACTGCTCTCTTCGTGATCGGAATTCGTCTCTACTTGAAAACAAGGAACGAATACATACTTCGAATTGTGGTTTTAATTTCGAGTTTATTGAAAGCAATCTTTCTCTCTATCTTTCTCTCGAGCTTGTCCTAGCCGGTTGAAATATAGTGACCATATATCTAAATGAGAGTTCTTCCAACTGACCCTGTTAACTGCTAGCATTCGAACAATTAACAACTCTGCTGCACACCCCAATCTAGCGGGAATACGGTCTCGCTATGAACCCGAGGGATGCCAGCCCTTGCGCCCTATGCAATCGTACTTTACAGGATTTTTTCCATTTGCACGCTCGGGTAGAAATATATATTATGTACAAACCAGGACTCACTATTTATGATCCACCTGAACATAGCTAATTCCAAGGTCCCAAGAAGAACACTAATATTGGTGGAATATTGAACCAATTCAGAGTGAATGTTGGGGAAATATTGATGATGGATTCAATTAGAACATTCTGGGATCTTGGTGCTATGTTGCATTTGAATCTTGATTCAATATGCTTTATCCAATATTGTGTTATTATACGTACATGAGATTAGACAAAGATATGATGCCAACTCATGGAAAATTGAAACTGCTTTCTCATGATTCTCATATGTATTTACATATCGAATTTTCGATATTGAACAAAAAAGGTCTTTCATTAGCACCATGAGTCGTTTATGGTGAAATTGCTTATGGCATGTAGGTAAGATACAATGGGCTACTAGGCCTAAGTGGTACCTTCGAAGACATCAGTCAGACGAGCCTACAAACGGGGTACTATCAAATGGGGGTTGGACCTATGAACGATTTCAACCACCTCGACGAAAATAAAAGGACTTGCCGAATAATAGACCAACCTGTCCCTTCCACTATTGTCGATAACAACGTGTGTCAGCTGACCAATCAGACGCTATTTTGAATAGCGGAAAAACTGAGTTACGTCATTTCTTAACATACCTAGTTTTCTGTAGGCATATCAATAATGTTTAGTCTATCAAGAAACGGATATATTCATCAATATCTCGACAGTGTGTTTACTCACAGTCAAGTCCAAGAGACAGTATTTCTACAAGTATGAAGTGTTATGATTATTTCATTGAAGAAAAATATTTTTGGAGTTATGATGAATATGTAGAGATCATAAATTTTAAGAGAATGCCATATACTGTGAGATAAAGATAGCATTTCTATCATGGTTCAATTGACGAGACTTTCCTGAGAAGTTTTTGTTCATTAAAACCCAGAGTGTAGATTATCTTCGAGCAGATAGAAGAAGAAATTGAATCTACCAACAGATAGGTAGGTAGTAGCCCTAATAACACACGTTATCCATACGACATCCATTCTATATCCGTTTGAAGTCCAAGACATCCATGGACGCCAAATAGAACTACCTTTTGATGTACATCGTTGTATATCCAGCTGATGATCTAGTGTGTACTCCATTTGGAAGCTAATGTATGTCCATGGATGCACATCGAATAGCCACTTGGATGTCCATATCGGATTCTTGGCAGTACATACTGGACATTCATAAGTTTATTGTCGGGATGTCGATCGTAGCGACAAATTTTGAGAAAAGTGAAATGAGAAGAAAAACATCCGAATTCATCTGCCAGAATTTGAAATGTAATATATTACATTCAACATGTTCATTAACGCGAGTTTGAATTCTCCTTCCACTAGGAGACATAAGTTCGACTCACCTTTATAGTCAGAGACGTTGGGGCAGTTGACTACCCCGTTGCACACCAGCCTCGCAGGGATGCAGAGGTCCTTCTCCCCTGGACAGGCGAATTCGCACCCGTCTCCCATGACGTCATCAGGATGGCCGCCCTCCGTCAGTCTAGAGGACATCAGCGTCCCATCGACATTCCTGGGCAGGTGGAACATCTCGGTCCATGCAACCTAAAAGTTTTGGTATTAAATGAATCAAAATCACGACCACAAAATTGAATTCATTTCTCACGAATAGACTCATCTATTGGAAATGAATGGAAACAGACGGAATTCACTAGGCTTATTACACTCGTACGAATTGAAACAAGAAGCGACTGAACAAAGTATCATTTTTACATTTTTGAATACGAATATTCTGAAATACTGCTACAGTACTACCTTTTTTGTGCAAGAGAAAGGACCTATTACGTCACGAATTACTCGCGGAGTGCGATCGAGGCAACCTTCCTCTACAAGTAGTAGTAGTATTGTGGAGAGGCTGTCCCCAGGCAAGTAGGCCCCCATGGGACCTTTTTGCTAACCCCTGCTCTCCAGATATCTACACATTCCCCTTTTAGTTATCCTTTTCGAACCTTTCCGTCCTTCTGATGAAGGTCAGGATGTTCGTCCACTCTAATTCGACCAAATCTTCCTGTTGTAGTTTGTCTACTCCAAAGATTTCGAATCTCATCCTTCCATACGCCTCACACTCTCCGAGGAAGTGAAGTGATGTCTCCTCATCTTCTCCGCATTCACGGCAAGTGGGACAATCTTCAACACCCATGAGTGATAGGTGTCTGCGTTACCGTTTGTGTCCTGTTAGTACCCCTATAAGAAGGCGCAGGACTTGGCGATCCCTGCCCAGTAACCAAGCCGTCTTTGGCTTGCTTGGACCGGCCACCAGGTCTCTCGATTGCCTGCAGCCGCCTATAGGCCTCCAATATACTTCTAGTGCCTCGTCCGCCCATTTGTTAAGGGCAGACGAAGTTTGGCTTCTTGTTATGCCCAGCGCAGGCTCCGGTCTCCAGAACAGTGTCGCGGATCCGATTCTAGTCAGCTCGTCGGCCACCTCGTTCCCGGGCACCCCCCTGTGACCCGAACCAATACTAAATAGTTCGACTTCCTTCTGTTCAGTTAATTTCTCAAAAGCATCGCCACATTTCTGCACCAAAGCTGAGCTTAGTTTAGGATGGCAGATAGCCCTGAGAGCCGAGTAGATGTAAATCTTCTGCTCTGGTCCCTCTTCCACCTCTTGCCTCTCTGCTAAGGCCAGAATGGCGAATACCTCGGCCTGGAAAACTGTGGTATACTTTCCAAGAGCGTAGATCTCCCTTATGCCTATTCCTCTACAAAATTATGATCAGTTCTACCAACCTTGGATTTTCATGATAAATTGGAGTTACGTGGTTTTCGAATTAGGGTAAACGCTTTGATGTCGAAGCAATGGGGAAGACCACTGAGGAAAGAAATCCGTGCAAACCTCTTTCAATCAACGAATCTTGATTTACATTTTATGTACAATCAATATTATGAGTTGAAGTTGAAGGGAATCGAATCTATATCGTTTTGAAATCAGCATATTTCATTCGATATTTCAAACAGCCAAATATGATGGTGGAGTCGTGACGTATTAGTCCCGAACTGTAGCTATCTGTCTCTGACACCTCGTCATTCTGCAGTGTTACAGTGTAATTGGTCAGTTCAAGGACAATAGGCGTGTTGGGACTGAGACGTCGCACCAGTCACACCAATGAATTGATGAAATTTCAAATGGCGCAGGAATTGCGTGTTTTGAAATGGACATATACTAATTTATTTTTTTCATCGTCTTAGCATGAATGAAAAAGTTCAAAATTAATTCACTGGTAGTTTTTCAGTATAGAGTTCACGATAATGTCGTTTTGAAAAATCAGTGGTCTTCCCCATTACGAAGAGAACGCACTTTGCCCCATCGAAATCGAAACTTCTTCACCAATTTCCGAATTGAAATGCTATAATTCCTGGACAAATGATTAAATAAATGGATGAAAATGGCCCCACTTACCTTGAAGGCCGCCCTAGTAGGAGACGTCCGCCCGACAAACTGAATGGTCACGCTAGGCTCTGACCCATCGGGACTGAGCTCGCTGGCAGAGAGAATGGGCAGTTCCTTGGCCAGGGAGACATTTTCTCCGCAAATGGAGAGGAAGGGCTCTGGTCGCCCTTTGAGGAGGATGTCGACGATGCCGTCATCGCAGGACTTGGAGGCGAACTTGATGCGGTCGAAGTGCAGCCAGAAGTCGCGGTCTCGGTTGACCTTGATCTCCCAAATGCACCTGGAAGATTATCGAAATGGCCCATTAGCGCCGTGCGTTGCCATACAGCAACGCTAGTCAGGTGGAGATTCAAACGATTTCCAAGCACTTAAGATATCTATGAGAGTAGGAGACATCTACCCGATTCGCGAATGAACCATTCATGCCCCAGTTCTATGTGGTGAGATGGCTGGTTCGACCACGTATGTATAGGGTGATTGTTAATATTTTAAGCGATAGCTATCGCAGTTGAGATGGGTTTTTCAGAAACATTCGAATGGGCGAATACGAAGTATTTTTTATGAATATTCAGAATTCGGGACTAGGAAATGTAAAAATCATCGTGAACCTTAAAATTCTACATATTTATTTTCATAATGAATCACCCTGTATTTTATTCTTCTCAAAGGTAGCTCTCTTCTTTCTGATTTCAAATGAATATACTTCGTTTAGGTAGAATCTATATTTTTCAAAAACTGACAAAGATAACCTCAATAAAGTATATTCATTTGAAATCAAAAGAAATTTTATGAGAATTTGTTGGTTAATTACTTTTAAACATTTTCTAGTACAAAATTCTGAATGCCCATCTCATTCGAACGTTTCTCTGAGACCAATATTAAATGAGATAGTTGTTGAGTGGAATATAAACGATCACTCTGTACCTACATGGCCTACATGGCCAGCGTAGCCTCGTGGTAGAAGTTTCAGTTTCTATCCACGTTTCATTGCCGGTAAGTGGGTTCGATTCCCACCACGACCGCAGAAAATTTTCTGATAGCCTAAGAAAGTTGAAAGGTAAGACCCTCTCCATTCCTATTACAATTCTACAATTTTTTTAGAGGTCTCTTGAAGACTTCTGATTGTTGCTCATAAGGGGGCAACCGAATGATGGGTAAAAACAATTTTAGAACAATGTTCGTCGTGGCATATAGCCAGGAAAGTAGTGGTTTTCTATTGAATCAACTGAGAAAGAGTAAATATTCTCATCACATAGAGAATGCGAATTCTCAATGTATTGCTTTATATAAATATATATCCATTTTTTTATGTTCATAATTTATCTGAGAATATTCCTTTTCAACACTTTCATACCCAATCAGGGGGTTCAAACTTGAACGATGGAAACTTGTGATTTTTATAGACCTCTAATCGCAGATTCGTGATAGAGTCTCAATTCAGAACTTCTTTCCAGCAATTTTAGAACAGTTCGTGAAACTTAGAGTTTATTTGAACTTGTCTAAAACATGGACGATATATTCGAGTATCATCCTTTTTTACGGCTTCGAATTTGTGATTAATTCCTCAAAATAGTGTTCCACATATTTCGATTTATTAATGTGACTCATTTGAAGATATTGCATTCTTCTATGTATATATAAAACAAAAGATTGCTCTTGTTTCACTGTGTTTGATATTTCAATGAGGTACTTTGTATGTCATCAATTTTTTTTCCGTATCTGATATCACAATGACTCTATTGTGTTATTATTCTAAAAATGACTCATCACCCATGGAATGCCAAATTTCAATTAATGACAGCTCTGTCTAATAGATAAGCATTACTTGACAAGAAATCAGATGGCCACAAGACGAAGAAATCGAAAATGCCGCTGTTATCTATTATAGCCGTAGAAAAATTATAGTGCATAACTTGCACGGAATGCTAGTTTCCTACACGAATGATTGCAGCATTCTCCTATGGCTCATGCTGCAAACTTAATTCTTGTAGGAAATCACTATCATTCCGTGCTCGTTTAACAATATACTATTTTTTGTGTGTGAAATGTCGTCGGAGGACTTTGAGGCGAACTTGATGCGATCAAAGTGCAGCCAGAAGTCACGGTCTCTGTTGACCTCGATCTCCCAAATGCACCTAGAAGATAACAAAATGATAGCATATGTTATCTTCTATGATAATAAAATAATCATTGATGTAAGAAGACGTTTGAGAATAGTTTTCTTGGGTCATTGGTCTCAGATCGCTAAGGAATAATGAAGGAACTCAAGAAACTTGTATTGCTTTCTATTCAACGTATGCACAATGATTAAAATTTTTACGAACTGAACAGAATAAACTATGAATTCTAATGCTTGAGCTCTTGAAAAGAAATGCATGGAAACCTATTTAGTCTCTACGAGACGTACTTGGCATTATCGCTTTTCTATAAATTATACCTCTTCTCTTTTTCTTTTTCTAAATTATACATGCATATCGAAATTATTACATTCGAGATTCCCAAGGAGTTCTTCATCAAGGAGTTATCTCATTTTAACACGAATTGAAGTACTGCGACGAACGTTGATGTGCATGCGCATTCACCGTTTCTTCACTTTTGCGTTGGTTTATATAGGCTCATCTTGCGCACTTCCACGTACACCTTGGATATCAACGTACGTTAATCGAAATATACCATTGAGTCAAGATTATTGAAGCCTAGATCTATAAAGAGTTCTTCTTCAAGGATTTTGCTCATTTCAACACAAATTGATGTACAGATAGATCAACACAAACAACCAAAAAGGACCAACACAAGCTGAAAAACAAAGAATATTTTTAACGTGACGATGAAACTGATGACTTCCATAATCCGTAAACGTTAATTTCCGTACGTTCAATGTCTACGTGAAGGTGAACGTACAGTGTGTACTTCAACTCAACCAGTAAATGATGAGGGAGCACGGTAAAGCGGAAACAATATTTGTGTCGAAATAGACCCTAACGATATACAAGGTGATTCAGTTTCAAGGACAAAACTATCGCATGATGTTACTGAAATGAAAATGCTTGCTCATTCTCACTATACGCCACTGCCAAACATTAAATTTTAGTGGAAGCTGAAAGTCTCCCGTACATGGCTTTCGGCATCAGCTTCAGGAAACAATTGCCGATATTTCATTTCGTGATTGCCGTTAAGTACCTATTACCGGATGTATCTGATAGTGCCGAATGTCGGTATATCATAGAAGGTCTCGTATGAAAGCGCATAAAAATGAATTGATTCATTCAAAGCGAGGTAAAAGCACATAATGTTGGTGGTTATAACTCTGCATCCATCATCATATACGTCTATGGCTGTATTATGGGCGATGGAATTCGTTATTTCAGTTTGATGCTCTCATAACGGGCTCATGGCTCATTGGCACAATATGTGGTTCAATCTAGTCGCGCTTTCGTTTGAATATCCTTGTAAACAAAAGATAAAGTTGACAATAGAACCTCACTAGGAATGATATTGCTTCATTCTCTATTCATTTTATATGCCTTCCTTTAGAGGGGATCATATACACCCTGTTGTTAAATTCAACAAGGATTTACATCAAGGTCACTTACTTTGCGTGTATTTTTTTTCAGGAATTGGTGTTCTGCTTGAATTTCTGGAGGTTACATGCCTCGGGGAACACCTCCCTCGGCAATCTGTTCCAGAGCCACGCTGTTCGTTGGATGAACGAGTCTTTGGAAAGAGATGTTCTGAAGGTGTCCAAAGTGACCACAAAGAGGTGCGAAGCCTCAACTCGACGGATTAATCTCGCAGGGACTGCCAAGGGAGGAACAATTGTCCATGAAAATATCTATAAAATAGGGCCAGATCGCCAACTTTTGTACGGTGTTCCAGAGAGCATCACCCACGAGACGAATTGTCCTTTATTGGACAGAATCCAACAGTTTCAGAGGATATGTTTGGGTGCTGCACTCCAAATATGGGAACATTATTCCAGGACAGGTCTTATCTGTGCCTTATAGGTATATATACTCCTGACAAGCTTATGTTGGGCACAGTGAGATCAGCTTCCCTAGAGAAGAGGCATGCTTGTTTTTTGTTTGCATTGAAATCTACCAAGTTATTGGATCCCCATTCGAGAATTGTTGCCTAGTCCATATTTATGTTGTCAACATTTCTTCCCCGCTCGTTTCTGATTTGCCTAGCTGGTATTGGAGCCCTGGAAGAGAAGGCGGTATGGAGGGTACTATCAATTTTAGTGAAACTTGTATTCGATTCGTTGAACAATCCATCATTTGGTGAAGATTTATCATTTGGTTGATCAAGCAAAACAGAGATAATTGAAAGTGATAGGTAGATAAAGATTTAGATTACAATAATCGAAATGAATGAATTCGATCGGTTATTGAAACAAGAGCAATCATTAGAAGTCTGATGAATACGCAAGAAGAAAATATTGGATGCATTATTGTTATGAAATCTGAATTTTTATCGTAGTGTTGGTGTGGAGAGATGGCAGATTATATATAAATGCTTAAACTTCGAAAGGTACTACTTACTAGGAAGAGTACATAAAAAATTACGGTATGTTGTAATAAGTCTCAAATGATTACACTACATACCATTCAAATGTGTTGGCCAATGAGCTACCCAAAATATTCCGAGTAGTATTCACTATTCGATAATTGAACAAAGTGAACATTCCCATTCTATTGACGAATATGTATAATTGTATTATGAGTACTGTAGGTGTAGGAGATTATTATGACCCTCGATATATTATATATTGTATTGACGTGGTATTGTGTAGTGATGACGACAAGACAGTATCAACATATTTATTATAAATGATTCATGTATGAATAGAGTACTGTAAGAATTATTCTACATCAGTTAGATATTGTTACAAGTACCTACCTAATACCATCAAGATCTAATCACTTGTTATGTGATCAAACGGCAACTGCGCTATACAGTGTCTAACAGCGAGATACAAAATCTGCGTCGATGTAGCGACGTTTCCTTTGGTATGAATTGATAAAGCTTCTGACATGGAGTCATACACATCTATCATCTATATTATCCAGTTAAGATTAAGACAACTAAAAATCTTTCCACATACTATTGGAAGAGCAATCAAGCCTGATTCAATCATGTTCATAGCCAGACAATTTCTATTATTTCCAGATGTTATTTGACATCTGATGACAACCATGTGTTTCACTCACTGAGTTGTGACGTCAGTAGTTATGAGAGGCAAACGTCGATCGTTTGAATGGAATTGTGACTAGTGACTTAAGATATGTTCCGGTAATCAACCGAAGGTACCGATGCTTTCAAGGCCAGCACCAACAATTTTGAGAGTGGTTATACTAAATTCAACGAATCTATCGGAACTCAACGCGACAATAAAAATGGAAATATTGTTCTTCGTTGTGATTAGTAACAGTGACTTAGAAGGTGAAAACTTCTTTCGAAAATTCTCCGCAAGTTGGGACAAATCACTTACCAATGAAAATCTCTTGAACATTTGCCTTGGTAAGAATACGATAGGGATTTTCTTTTCTGACGCTTCCACATTGGAAATGATGCAATACACTTACTAGACGAATGTGACAGGGTGAAGTATTAGGAATGGGCAATATCTGAACTACATATAGTAAATACCAAAATATGGAGAGTGGGACCTTTTTCAACCAGCAATCTTTTCTCAAGCATGTTAGACAAAATCTTCACATTTTGGTGTTCACTATATTCGAAGTTCAGAAATTTCCATCAATAATGAATAACCCTGTATATTACAAATACATAGAAGTAGAGGAATCGAGACAAGGATGGACAAAATTCGGATGTTCTTTACGAAACCAAGAGTTGAAAGCTAACCAACGATAGCGTCACCACAGTATATTATCCTATCACATGATAATATACTGTGGCGTCACCGAGTTTGATTTCTTAGGACTTTTCGATAAATATTCAACAACATGCAAGCGAGAAGGAAGAAAGGAAAAAGGGGGGAAGGAAGGAACTAAAGAAGGGAAATGGCAGAAATGGCATAAGCACAGCCTCCGATGGGGCTTTACGCTGCTCATCGTGGAATTTCCGTAGAATCTGGGGAAAAAGGACTCGAAAAACAGATCTTGTTCTCTCAAAGCTGATTTACTGAGAGGAGGTGAGGAATAAAACCATCAATATCAGCTAGACCTCACCTTATCGACCTCGGAGGCTCCACATACCCAATAGCCTCATAATAAGGATAGTGAATCTCCCCCTCTGTCACAGGCTGCACCACAGCTGGTCCGCACAGTGGCCCATGCACGAACTCATACGTAGCTTCGAAGAGCGAAGCTGCGTGCTTGAAGTAGCTCATGGCGCTGTGGGCGCTGTCCACGATCAGCTGCAAGTTCAGCTGCTCCCCCTTGGACACTATTTGAGTGGCGAAGGCCTGCCTGTTGCACAGACACGTGACCCCGCCGTTCTGGGCGGCCTTGTCGAGCGTGATGGGAGGGTGGGAGGCGTTGGAGCCCGGTGGGAGCGGCTCCCATACTACTAGTTTGTCGACGCGGTCCTCGAGGCAGTTGGTGCACGGACCTGGGTTGTAGGGGTGCTCCTAGGGGAGAGAGGAGGGTTTTGTCAGTTTGGATGTCTCCTGGATTCAGAGTTGCCGTTTTTAGTACTGTATTGTACTTTTCTAGTACATTTCATACACATTTTAGTACGTCAATACAATTAACACTGATCTAGTACCGAAACAAGAACCGGATAGCCCAAGCTATTTTCGCATACGAAACAATCATTTGGAGAAGATATGTTATTGAAGAGGAACATTCTCAGATATATTTATGAACACAAATAAATGGATATATAAATATAAAGAAATACATTGAGAATTCGCATTCTCCATGTGATGAAAATATCAATTCTTCCACGGTTTATTCAACAGAAAACAACTACTTTCCTGGCTATATGCCACGACGAATATTGAATTACATCTATTGAACACACACGATGAGAATTCGAAAACGGAATCTTCTGGAGTAGAGAATTTGCATTCTCCTCCATATAAAGCTATGCATATAATATAATTCTGAATATTCAACAGAGAACAACTACTTTCCTGGCTATTTGCCACGTCGAACATTGCATTATATCTGTTGAATATCCAAAAAGAGAGCATGAAAGATCAAAATCCTCTGAAATCGAGAATTAACATCATCTCTCAAATCGAATAGAATAATATTATGATGTATTATGACATAAAAATATAACTTACCGATATGTTCAGTATTGAAATAAAAATTGAAATGTATAGGAGAAGTATACTTATATGAACTCTGATCTTGATGAGCTTGGAACTTAAAAAAAAATCATTCGTATCAGTGATATGGGAATTATATCTCTCAAAAACAGGTTATATGGATTCATTTCGGATATCATTATCCTCATCAGTGACCTGAAGTCCAGTTATTTTTTCAACCATTCTTACTACACAGTAAACATTCTCAAATTTGACATGTTACATTTTGTGATATACACGTGACATGAAACAACGAATTTGGCCAAGTGTGAGGGATCTTCCTAGGAGGAATGCAAGGGAGGTATATAAAACAAGTTTGACGTCAAGTGCTGAGGAGTCTTCAAGGAATCCTCCTCGGAATCCTCAGATAAGGAAGACTTGAGGAGTTCTTGAGGAAACGACTATAAATACACTGAGGAAAATTGTGCTATCAGAGTTTTTGCTGTGAGATATTTCTTGCTACCATAACAGGAAATCATATCACCTTTACACATTTTCCAATTGAAGCAGCACCTTGAAATCCTATGATATAGCAACGACGACTTTGCTGAAAGTGAATTTCCTTCCACAGGAAGGTATACTGCTGTCGCTATCAGGCAGCCACTCTGGGACAGCATGATTTTATTTATAATTGTCTAGCTGAACTACTACCCAGTCAGTTATATGCTTGTTGCTGCGAGGTTCATCGCATATAACTGCATTCACTACCAATGACACAACTGTCAGTCTGCCACGAAAATAGCATTTGACGAACCTACTTGGGGTTATTTAGCGCCTACTTATCGGTATTAGATATTTTGCTGATTTGTCCCCCTCTATATAAGCATTTGTCAGACATCTTGCTTGATCAATCATTCACAGTTGGTCTCGTGATGCAAACCCATGTACAGGACAACAATCTCGACGATACGACAGTTACGAATACTTCCTCTCTTGAATTCAATTCATTATTTGAAATCTGAATCCAAAAATAAAATGGAAATATTTTCAAACAAATACAAAAATTTGTGTCCCTTTCAGTGCTTTCGTAGATCTGAGTGCTCCAGTTATTACCAGGATTGATGGAATGATAAAGGTGAGTTGTTTCGAGGTTATTCGACTGAAATTCAAATATTCCAGATTCAACATTTACTTCTTTTTGGTACCATGAAACTTTAAAATCGTCAAATATGTTCCAGAGATCCTCTATAGAATGTGGTCTGAAAACTTATTGTGAGCAAGAATGTCCAGGTTATGAAATTATCTGAATGATTTTACGGGCCTTACTTGCCCAGTTTTCGAAATACAATTGTTTCAGAAAGTTTCAGAAAAATTCTTTTTTCCATGAATCAAACATTTTGTTTTCCCTGAGGGTGCATGAATCAATTGATCTATTGAATTTCAAAGATCATTGGTCCGGAATTTTCTTTAGGAATCAATGAATTGCTTCTTATACCAAACATCAGGGTGGAAATTATTTGAAGTGAAATTGGATATCAGTCAGAATTTCACCTTTCTAGATGACAACAATCCTGGAAAATGACTGAATAACTACAGGAAGAAGGTCATGCAACTATCTATATGATCACCCATCAAGAGAAGCAGAGTTCCCTACCTACGAGATTATAACATTGCCCTACTCCCATTATCAAATGCACTCACTAGCGATAGCAAAGTCAGATACCTACTACAGAAACATAGTCTGATAGCAATATACAGATGCACTCGCTAGTGGCAGCAAGGCTCTATATCTAATAATCAGCAAAGTCGACTTTATAATCACAGGTAATAACTCGCTTGTCCCATATGATATTAGAGTTTTTTGCTGGGGTAATTCGATTTCTGACTATGGTTAGAAGGAATTCTCCTCAGTGTAAGTAGATAACAATATCCTCCGCAATGTTGTCGTGTATTTGCGTTTACTACTAGCAGTCTATATAATATAAGATGCGAGAGCAATTCATGAACCCACCTTGAAATACACATTGGTGATTGTCAAAATAATCCTGGCGAAAAGCCTCTTGTCAGTCACGAATCTGTATAGGCACGTGACGTCCTCGCTGCTCTGCGATTGCTTGTAGATGAGGGTGTTGAGGGGGGATCTCAGCCACCCCTTGGTCTGTTTCCAGGAGGCGAAGACCTCATCGCATTGCTTGCCAGGGACTGCCTCACCGAGTTTGGTATTGTTGAAGAAGTCGTAATGGGCCCAGTAATACAGGGATGACCTAGAACGAGATTGGTTGGTAATTTTCCACTTATCATCACTTTATGAGAAATCACTGAAAGTATTGTATCGCCTCTCATTTGATATCCCAACAAATGATCAGTAGAGTGTAGTATATATATTTGAAATTGGAACGCCTGGGACTATCTAACTGTTACAAAATATACGGCGTGTTCCATAAAAAAATATAATTGGATGCCGTATCTTTTTAATGTCACCCTGTAAAGAAATTCTAATGGTGCCAATGAATTATTCATACTATATGAATGAACTCTAGAACATTTCAAATATTTCCCATTTAAAGCACTCAGGAAATAAAAACGAAATGGCCAATTTTTCAATTTACCCCTGTATCTCTGAAACGAATGAAGATATCAAACTTCCGAATGCGCCATTTTAGGTTTCTTCAAACATATATATCGGTTTTTCGATAACTTCTTTAGTTATTGAGATAGCTCGTGAATACTCCCAATTTTGCCCACCCTGTACATGAACTGCAGGGAGAGGTGTGCGTTACAAATGCTGGGCCGATGGTTGGTGTTATCTGGGATTGGTTTATTTGTCAATTCAGGTTCAACTCTTATATACTTAATATACCTCGTTATATACCTCAATATACATATACCTACTCAGTTCGACAAGATAGTAATATACACATTTATCTACAAGTTCAAAAAAATCTCCAATGGGTCAAAAATAATGAAATAAAAGTTCACACACAGCTTTGTCTGTCTCCCAATCAGCTGATATAAAAACGACGAATCTGCCAAATTGTGACGTCAGCTGGCACTGCTCTATTATAATACCAAGATCCCACAGCCAATAGGAGTTAGAGTATCAGATCATACATTCTCCTATATAAATATTCATATATCAGTTATGAGCGTGACAATTCCAAAAATTCAAGAAAGGTTCGAGAGAACAAATGGTTTGATATGTTTTCCACCTCAGAAAATTATTTTGACAATTTTCCTTGCCTTTGAAATCTTTGAAAAATTGCACACCTGAGATTATCACCCTGTAGGATCTTATTTTGGAGAGATGCATTAGTAATTTTCATATAGGTTCGATAGTAGATGAAACGAACATCCAGAAACTGGAAATAAACTACTCAACACTAATTTCGTCGCACACCAAAATGTCGCCCTTGTTATAATGTGAATAACTTTTTCCTGTTTAGAACAATTTGAATTTGGTTCACACTGTTCGATAGCCCAGTCCTTCAGCTATAATCTCGTACTTTATTGAAACATAAGGGTATTCAAATAAAATCTCTACATGGTGTTTTCCGACACTGTGCAAAATTTCGGAATATTCAAAAGGCTCTCAATTGGTGAAAAAAAAATTTTTCTCAACTTCGACAACAGAGGCATGAAGATGATCTCATTACCTCGAGATATTTCGCGAATCAACTTCCTATCTCTCTTATTTACAGAGTGATCTCAAAAAATCAACCTTTTGGTTTTGCAGCCATAACTTTTTTCCACGTCAACCGATTTTGGAAATCTTAGGCTCATTTTGAAGATACAACTTTAGATGAAGAGATCTGAATATCAGAATTGACTCAAGATGGCTATCAAAGATCTAGAGTTTTCAGAAAATCAACTTGTTCTCGGAAAAACAATTCATTCTGGATGCGTCAATATTTTCCTCGCTCTCAGTAGTCAAGAATTGTGCGTGAGAAAACACAATTGAAACATGTTCTTGCAAAAACATTAGATCATTTTTCCTCTGTAATGCATGAAAATCGCTTGAGGCAGTTGATCGAAGATGTTCGATTTTATACATCTCGTGTGCTGAGCAGTTTAGATCGATCCATTGCCTATCTGAAACTAGTAGGTGATTATGGGCTATACCAAAATGTATCCATTTCATGACGGCTGATGGTAATTAGTAAATATAGGTGTGTTATAGTAACTAGGAACGCATTAACATAACCTATATATTTCGCTAGCGAACCGATATTATGCATAGCCGAATAATTCCAATTGATATTATTTTAATTAGGTCAAATTTCCAAAGCCCACAAATACTGATATTTGTGCGGATAACACATTATCTATACCTTTGGTACCCATCATTTGATGATATAATCCAGTAAAGCGTTGCAAATTGATATGAATTGAGCAATGGTTATTTACGATCAAATATTTTATTGGATTACATTCATATGCATAATATGTTAATCCAACATGATATTATTGTGAATGACAACATCCCTATTGTTTATTTCGAATGGAATTGAACCAAATTGTAATTATTCTCCATTCAGATAGAGTTATCAACTCTCCATCCTAATCGTGTACGACATGGTACGTGAGCTTCTATGACATAATACTTCCTCTCGATAGTTATTTATACAGGGTGTATCTAAATTACACCGAAAAAATTCAAGGGATGTTTCCTTGTGACATTCTAGCAAATAAAGTTCTTATAAAAATGTCTCCTAACTTGCTCCGTTTTTGAGATAGAGGATGTTGAAGTTGGAAGTATTAATTGTTCTTTTTATAACCCCCCAGTATAAGCTTTCTTGGTGTCAAAATTCAGTATGGATGGAAACTAAGAAAGCCCCAAAATTTCAAAATGATTTTAATTAGGGTTATTGAGTAATCTCAATGGAGAGTCTTGAAAACACCCATATTAAACATTACACTGTTTCACCATTAACCAAATCGATTTTTTAACGCATCGACACGTGTTTCGCTAACTATGTTAGCATCTTCAGGAGAAGATTAAAACAGTTTTAATCAGCCTTGTAGATTGTAGATTGTTGATGGGTCGTTTCGTTACCACCGATACTACGTCGTATAGGCTGGGAGACCTCTCGATCAATGCGACCTAGAAGATCTAATGTGATAACCCTTATCTAGTTGTTGTCCTCTAACCCTAGACTTCTGATGAAGCCTACAATTTTCCTGACGGTTGAATTTTCCACCTCAGCAGGGGTAAGATAAAAGTGTTCTAGGTGGTTCAGCCTTTGGCGGACTAATACTTCACATGAGCAAAGTATGTGTTCCGCGGTTTCGGTCGCATTGTTACAAAAGCGGCAAGTGTCAGTCTCCGCCAGGTCCATCTTTTTGAGGTGGTACCTCAGAGGGCCGTGTCCTGTGAGAAAGCCTGTGATAAGCTTTAGCTCTGGCTTGCTGAGACTGAGTAGCTCTTTGGCTCGGTTCTGCGAAGGTTGATGAACCTTTCCGCTTGTCTTTGACCTGGAGTTGCTCTTCAGTAAGATGACTTTTCAATTTCTTCCCATTTCCTGAGTTCTTTCTTTAGGTGACATTTGTTTATCCCACAAAAAGGCTCAGGACCAAAGAGTGCAGATGCTGCACCTTTTTTTGCAAGGCGATCAGCTGCCTCATTTCCTTTGATTCCTTCATGCCCTGGAACCCACATAAGTGTTACTTTGTTGCCCTTCTCCAGTTGCATGAGTGTTTCAAAGCAGTCCCATGTAATCTTTGATGTGAAAACAAATGATTTGAAGGCTTTCAGTGCGGCTTGGCTGCCGACAGCCTTATTTTGTTTCTTTAAAATGCGATCATACAAAGTTGGTCTAGAATTCTTCATCGATACAAATTGAAATTCAGTGCCTATGACGATTTTGTCTGAAGTTTTGCGTTGAGTCCTATTTATCCCTGAATATGGAAATATTATGACATCCAAGTCCATGATAACTTGCTGCATGTAAGTAATTTTTGAAAAGGAATATTCTTAGATATAATTATGAACAGAAGAAATGGATATATATAAAGAAATACATTGAGAATTCGCATTCTCTATATGTAAAGGAAATATAAATTCTTTCTTGGTTTATTCAACAGAAAACAACTACTTTCCTGACTATATGCCACGACGAACATTGAATTACATCTATATTGAACATATATACGATAAGAATTTGAAAACAAAATCTTCTGAAGTAGAGAAATTGCATTCTCCTTCATATAAAGTTATGCAATATCATTCTGAATATTCAACAGTAAACAACTACTTTCCTGGCTATTTACCACGTCGAACATTGAATTATATCTGTTGAACATCTAAAAGGAGAGTATGAAAAATTAAAATCCTCTGGAATTGAGAAATGACATTATCTCTAGAATCGGATAAAATATATATATCACTGATACGGATGATTCTTTTTTTGAGGTTTCATGCTCATGAATATCAGAGTTTATACAAGTACACTTCTCCCATACATTTCAATTTTCATTTCAATACTGAACATATTGGTGAGATTTTGTTTTCGAATTCTTATCGTGTGTGTTCAATAGATATAATTCAATGTTCGTCGTGGTATATAGCCAGAAAAGTAGTTGTTTTCTGTTGAATAAACCGAGAAAAACTTGAGATTTTCATCACATAGAGAATGCGAATTCTCAATGTTTTTTTATATATATGTATATATATCCATTTTTTTCATGTTCTTAATTATATCTGGGGATATTCCTTTTTAATACTCTCACCCAATCAAGGGGTTCAATATTGAACAATGGAAACTTGTTATTTTTCTAGACCTTCTATCGCAGATTCGTGATTAGGTTTTCTCATTTTAGAATTTTTTTTCCACGTCCTGTATGATTCATATATCAATTTATCATACATCCAAAAATAGGTCATTTTGTTTTATATTCTGATTTGATCCAATGAGGAAGCGAAATATAAAATCGGAAATACATCTCATTTCGGTATCTAGCAGCCAATCTAGAGCCGAAACACAAATACGAAAACATCATGTTCTCGATTATTAACACAATCAGAAACGTGTATTCTGAAACGAGTGGAATAATCGGTGCGATACTATCCCCTTCCATCCGGAGGAAGGGACAGTTATCTGTAATTTTCTTCCAGAGGCGCGAATGTCCGTACACGCAAAAAAAGGAATTGTTGAATCAAACAAAATTTAATCGAATAAAGCAATTTAAAGTGTCATATATGCACGACAAAATATAATCTCAGAATGAGTTAATCTTTATATCTTGTTTCGGAGTGAATTTGAAGTTT